CTACATAGCTCATTCTTTCACTGAGATAACTTTACAGGCAAATTGGGCTCCAGTTCCCTTCTCCTGCTGCCTCATTTTCCTGTGAAAAGGGCTGTGGATAGGTTAAAACCCATGCATCCACCTCACAAACAATGCTGTCACGTAGTTAACACAGCAGAAACATTTGTTTAATTAGTTACATTTTCAGCATTTAAATGAGAAGAAAAAACAAGCCATGGGTGGTCTGTAACCTCAGAAGAGCAAATATCCTGGGCTGTAAAATCATCCCAGCTCAGAATACTGGGTTAGACATAAAAAAACCATTTATTGAATCCTAGGCCTGAGTCAGGAACAGAAGGTGCATTAAGAGCTTCCCAACTGCAGCCTACCACCAATTCATTAAGTGTTCAGCATTATTTAATAAAAATGGCTTGTGCATCCACTTTAACTGAAATGCTGTTTATTCACAAACATTTTTAACTAGAGTATCTGTTGGGAGTTATTCACACACCAATTCAGAGACAGTTTCAAATTCTTCCTTCAAGTAAATGTACGCAATTCCCACTGCTGTTTGCCTCACCTAGGCTATAGGTCTGCAAGCAGATCTTATCCTGTATTTTGCAATTAGACCAAGGATCTCAATTGGTTTATAGAGATCAAGACATGTTGCTTTTAATGTCTTGGTAATGGATTAGCATTGCAGAAGTGAGAAAACTGCTACAATTTGTGTAATAGCATTAAAATGATTCTACTGTCCTTATGCCTGAATCCCAAATTTGAATGGATCTTTGAAAAAATTCCTCTTTTTTTGGCTATTTTATCGGAGAAGTCAGTCTCCAGGTAGGCATGAAATAAAATGGTCAGGCTTTCCACAGAACTACAGGATGTTTCTTGAAAAAAAAAAAATCATGACACTATTGAATGCTTAAAAGAGGGCTGAGCAGATCTGGTGCTTCAGACCACAGTTCTTTGGGTTACATTAACATGACAATAACTGCCTTCAGACTCTGAAAGTGGTGACCAAGCAAACTAATAATATTCGCTAACAGGCTGTGCTGACGCTCAGGCAGCTGTTGCAACGGGATGTTGCAATGGGACATTGCAGGCAGGGAATATCATCATTTTTAGCCCCATCCTGTGCAAATACTACCTACCCAAACACTTCGAAGATGCTTTCTCAGAACCTCTCTGCCACTCTTATTTTCAATGCTATTTAGTTAAAAGGTGCTTCAGGAAGCTTTTTCCTTCACAATAGAGATTCCTGGAGGACTCGGATAAATTGCCTTTTCCACAGTTTCCTGCTCACTCACAAGGCGCAGGCTCTTTTACCTTCCCCTTGCCACAGCATAGCACCTATGCAGAAACAACAGCAATTTCTGACGTGGGAAAGACATAGCCACAACACATTTCTCTCTTTTCTGTGTGATTTCACAGCAGGAGATGAAAATAGCCAAAAACACTCTTTGACCTGTTACTCCTCCAAGGGCCGTATGTGTTCTCCAGTCTGGCCACTGGACAGCTGCTACTTTAGGACTTTGCCCTTTCTGTCTCCCTTATCTTTTCTTCTGTCATCTGCTTATTTTCCATTTTTATGATATTCTTTTTTTGTAGATAATAATGCTTTTAGGAATACTGCTGGCAAGAGGCCAGGACAAAATGGCAGCGCTAAGAACTTTTGTTTGAGTTAGGGTCACTGCAAGACCATCGTACTGGGGCCCCATTTTCCCATGACACTGGAAAAATCCACATAGAGAAGCAGAAACACCGAATGCTTCAAATCCAAACCTCCCTGAGTTCATCCTCTTGGGACACAGCTTGCAGAAAACGATGAGAATTATATTTCAACACCCATGGATAGGATTTGAGATGGACTGTACCACCATCTATCTTTCCCCAGAGTTTTTGTTTTTAGGAGCAAAATCCAGCAGAGAAAATCCATCTTTGTCGCTTCCCACTCACACAGCTGAAGGACCTCTCCCTCCGAAGCTTCCCTTGAAGGACACAGCCTTGCTTAGCGTGCACCCAGGCCAACATTGCCACTTTCTTCCCATGCTGCCAAAAGAAGCACCATTAATGAGGTGCCTACTGCCCGCATATCTCTCAGAGAGGAAGGAACTGGCCCTTGGTTTTGCTTTCTATTTTTCCCCATTAGTTTTTAAAATGGATATCTTTCTTAAGCCTGAAGGCTGCCCCGAAATGTTTCTCCTCTGAACACAGTAGTAGGACAACCAGTTAAGGGAATATGAAGCATCTCTTTCCCCCTGTCCAAAGTGGGGAAATGTAAAATTCATCATAAATGATGAAAAGCAAACCAGATGTTAGTTAAAATTCACACAGTGTAATGAAGTAACACAGCTAATGTTTTTTTGCTATGCTCAACCCAAGGCTACCCCTCTTAAAGAAGTTTCATTTTCCCACTAGGTTAGGAGGCTGTGAGAACGCAGGGAGGGGAGGCTCTGCTCAGATCTATGTAAGTTAAGCATCCATGTAATACCAGGACACTGCATTTGAGACCAAACCTCCTTCCCCCATAGCCAAGATCTGTAGCTCCTCCACAGGGAGCCCCAGATCCCTACGATCTCCACCACGAGCTTCCCGTGAGACAAGGATTGACATTTCAGATGGCAGGAAGCTGTGGTACGTGTAGGTAGATCACAGGTCCTCCCTCTGCCCCGACAAGAAGAGGCTGGGAAGGGTGTGGAAAGCCAGGTGGGAAAGGAAGAGCAGGAAGAGGGGTGAGAGGCAGCAGCAGCAGGAGGGGTCCCATGCCACTGCCCGGCCCTAGCAAAGGCTGACATTTTGGGTGAGGGACCGCTTGGAGCAAGATGAAAAGCTCTGGATCACAGGTGGGAATGGGATATAGGGAGAGGCAGCCCTCAGAGCCAGGCAGAAGAAGGTCAAGGACGAGGTGGTAGGGAGCCAGGCACCCGCGCAGCTGCCCTGGGACAGCCAGGAGCACTGCCGGCAGGGACGTCTGATTGCACAAGCAACCATGGAGTGAGGAAAGAGAAGAGAGGACTTCTCGCAGTGGGTATGCAGCTGTGCAAAGAGTCTCCCCAACAAACACATCAGCATGCAAAATCTCCCCCCATTGGCTCTGTCATGGATTCAGTTCTTCTTGACCATAACAGGGCTTGCACCTATCCAGCATTTATCAACGCTGAACTTGCACAGGGTATGCAGTGGGTCCCCACCCTAAAGAACAGCAAAGCATCCCTTGCCCACCTCCAAACCACCCACAGAGAGCATCCTGAGCTCTCGGCAGTTTAACACTTTTCTCATCTGGGGAAATGTCACACTGCCCACACTAGAAAAGCCACAAAACTGGGGAAGACTGGGCCTTTAATCCTCAAAATCACATTTCTCATGAACCATCTTGCTAAGTGACATCTGCAAAAGGGCACATAATGGGAAAAGGGAGGAACAGCACAAATTACAGTTCCATGCTTTGTTCAAAACTCATTTAGCAGGTTCTTCAGAGAGCAGCATCTTGAACTCGGCAGTTGGGGTTTCTCTACTAACCCGAAGCAAAGAACGCCAACAAAAGACTGACTCTGCCTGCCTAGACTTTGAAAGTTTCATAAGAAAAATACAAGCCACTGATATGATTCAACATTACATTTTAAACAAAATATTTAAATAAAATACATGCAAGTTCTAAGAAGCACAGCTTTTCTGAAGACAGCTGAGGTTACGCAATGAACTCCAGGAAAGGTCATTTATTAACACAAACTTCAAGTTCATCTGCTTGTGCTTTGATGCCTCCACCTGGGAGACATACAATGCTTAAAGCAAAGAGCTGAGGTAAGTGCCTAACTGGGAGCTGGCAAATGAGGGGCTTGAGTTGCTTTCTTGAGTTTTGGGCACAAATTCCCACAAACCCTCCTTTAGGAGCTAAAGCAGGTGCTCTGGATGCACCAGTGCTTTTCCTTTCACACAAGATAACAGCTTTGAAGCAAATTTACCCTTGCTGCAGCATCTTAATTTCATAGAGTACACTTCACAGCAACATTTGCTTGAAAAACAACCTAATATACCGTCTTAGTCTATGCAGCCAAAATTTCTTTTGTCTTAATGGGTTTATTATTCCTCTATTTGTAGGCACGTATGACAGTGAAAAAAGCTTTGTCTCATGCTCTTAACTGCAAGAGATTTACATTTTTCTTGATAGTCACGTTTCCTGTGGAATTGTTTGTATTATAGCTCTAATTTCCTACAGCTAAAGACTGACCAAACTCTCTTCAAGCCTCTTTTCTTTCTAAGCGTATTTGAAAAGTTTGCTCCCTCTCATGGGGAAGGCTGACTGTCCGGGAAGTACTTCTATCAGCAAGCAGAAATCCCTATAGGTATGTGCTATACGTTCTTGCTTTCACAGAACACTTTTCTATGAAAATCCTTAATGAACTAGCTTTGCGGTAGCTCAAAAACAATTTTGAGAGGCATCTTCCTCCTACATTTTGAGAGATTAAAAAAATACATACTTTCCCACATCCATCTCTGGGGGACAGTGGCACTCCCCTAGGTTTAAAACAACTCACAAGGACTACAGTGATATTTTAGACAGTTTAAAATAAACAGCAACAACCTAAATATGCTTAGTTGGGGAATAAGACCACTTTTCTCATTTGCATCAAGAAAAACCTCATCAGATGCAATACAGAATATAAATTTCTCAGATCTGATTCTACCAAAAAAGGGTATTGGAAGAGAAGAAAGACGAAGAATTCTTTGCCTGTAAAAAAAAGACAAGTGATTGGTGCAAAAGGGAGAGAGACCTGGCAACCTGCTTTTCACCAGCCCTCCTGCTGATGAACAAAGGGACAAGCACAGGACAACTGGTCATGGATGGTGGGGCACAGACCTAGTGCACCTAGACCAAGTCTATTCTTGCTGCTATTTACATTATCCGCCCCCGCTCCCTAGGTGATTCTGTCCTGAGAAGGGCTCACTGCTACTTTTGCTTTAATTAGGAGTGTGTTTTTGAAAATGCTAAGACCTAAAGCCTGTTGTCAAGTACTTACGTAGTCATCCTCATGCAGACCTTGCTTCTGAACAGAACTTTTCACCTCCAGGGAAAACTTCTCAAACTCAGGCTTCACGGTCCTCAGCAGAGTGACGGTTTGCAGGTACGAGTATGCCTTCTTGGCTTCAAGGTCATGTTTGTCTCCTCTTCTCCAAGAGCCATTTCCTAAGGGGAAAACAAGCATATTTCCAACTCCAAATTAGGTACCATTACAGGATTGCCTTCCTCTTTCCACCCAGAAGTCCCCTTTCCTGCACCTTGGGGAGATGGCAGAATACAAGGGAGAACTGAACCTGCTCCAAGACGTGCAGGAAACCGGGCAGGGAGGAACAGCTAGTGAGAAGTAAATGTGCAAACAGAAAGACAACTTTACTCCCATGCTGTGCTTGCTTATTTTTAAAGGGTGGGATGAAGCTTAAGTGTGAGAAGACATCTCGGAGCAAAAAACATGTGCCAGATCTTGAACGCAGAGATATTTAAGTTAGAACAAGTGAGGGAGGATCCAACCACAAGGTTTTTGTTACACATCACCCCACCAGCAACACTCTTGGACAGTCAGAAAGGCACCAGTAAAGTCAATAGTACGATCATCACCCTGAATGGGAGGCAGCTGGTGCAGCTACTTCTCCCACAGCTCTCCCACTGCGGTCAAGGAGAAAACCATGTGTGCAGTGGCTGCCAGGCCAGCCCTGCTCTTAGTGGAAAAGAAACTTAGAAATAAAATGAGATCCTGCGCCTATGCTGTATTTACACGTTTTGTGTCAGAGCAGGGTAACGATTTAACTCAGACTACCAGTAAAGTAATCAGATTTTTAAAAAGCAGAATAGCTGACTGGTTATTAATTAGCAAAGGAGTCCTCCTGCCTAACAGGGCCTGACCTTAGCATGTCCTGAGACCCTGATCCAAAGCTTCACGAGATCAGTGGAAAGTTCATATTGCCCTGGACCAGGTTTTGTGCTATTCTATGTAAATGATAAACAAAAGAGGCCTAGGGGGAACAGTGGTAGCCCTAAGCAGTGTGTCTTTAAGTGCTTACAAATAATTAAAAGCTAGACAGTAATTTTATTTTTTGAACAACAGCAACAAACCCCATCATGGCTAAATGAGCCAAGACGAAGACTAATGCTAAGCTCCCAAGGGCAACCTGGAGGCACGCAGGACCCTGAGATGAGAGAGGCCATGGCTGCTCTGCTTGGGTCAAGGGCCATGGTGCTGTTCGGAGCAAGAGAAGCAAGCAGTGTGGGAGCGGAGATGCTAACGGAGGTGGAGACCAGGCACCAAACCCATGGTGCTCCTTGCACGGCACAGCCAGCTGCATCACATGCCTGCAAGAGCAAATTCATGGACAGACCGCCCCAGTCCCCCCGAAGCAGATGAATACAGAGCCTGTGTTTTTTTCCTCCCAGTATTGCAACACTGCTGCTAGGACTTGTTTTTTCTTCTTTTTTTTTGACAGTAAATGTAATTGGAGAATTGCTCTCCTTCCTCAGACAGCACAGGGGAAGGAACTAAGGATGTGCACTTTTCTGGAGGACAAATCTTTCCTCATGCTGCTTTTGGCAGCTCCTGTCACTCCTAGCACAGGGCAGGAGGCACAGGACCACCTGAGCCCTTTTGCCTCTCTTTCCCACCTCAGCAAAGTCTTATTTACCACAGCTCAGCACCAGCTAGGACTGCAATGTTTATAAACATCATGAACCTTGCTAATTCTTAATTTTGTTTTCTTTTTTTTTGTTTTCGGCAGTTATTTCATTCTCTTGTGAAGAAGCTCTAGACACGTCAGCCTTGATTTAGGGATTTCTTTCCCAACACAAAGTTAACCGGTCAAAATTACTTACACCAGAACCCTGTTCATCAGACCTGATGGAAACACTGGAAAGCAACTAACATCCCACTGTCTGATTTTACCCTCAGAGGTAGCACTCTTCCCTTCAATGCCTGCACCCTGTCCTTGTTGCTGCTTTCAAAAAGAAATGTGCATCTGGCAATTGTAAGCTAGCACATCTCACTGGCTTCCCTGCAAGAAGATATAAGCCCTACCAGAGTCTCGAAGGTGAAAAGCCTCTGCCCCAGCTCGGTACCTGCATTTCAGAGGTGAAGTATTCAAGTACGGCAGAGACTACAGCATGGAGGGTGTTGCTATAGCTTTGCATTTACAAATGGAGATTGCTAAAAAGAGTAGATTGTATTAAAAAAAAACCTGGTAGTGCCAGTAGAATGTGAGTAAGTTTCTGTCCTGGACACTATACATATTTATTTTTAAAAATCCTGACACTGGGAGCTGGGAAGGTACACTTGCATAACAGCGTTCTTAGAATAATTTACATATTTAAGTTCCTTCATGGATTATTTTGTGGGAGGTTGTCTTGCCACAGTACTTATGTGCAATTATTGCAGTCTTGGCATTTAATATGCCTGCTCTTTGGAAAAATTAAAAATATTCAGAACAGAGGGCAACAACAAACTGCAATATGGTCATCTGAACTTAAAGGCAAAGGGCCAATTCGCCAATCACACCCACTCTCAGAATTTGTACTTTTCTAAAGTACAAAATCTAGCATCTCCAGGCACTGGGAACAAGGAATTTTGGGGGAATTTCTCTACATTTCCCTTTTATGCTTGCTTTCCACATGTGATGACCATCTGCACAAAAGTCAGCTTCCGATGCACAGTCATTTCGCTCTTCATGGGAAACACATCCACAAAGAAACAGAAACATTGGTTTAAAAGAATTATTACTTAGAAATGTCACGAAATGCCACATTCTAACTACACTACATCAGAAGACAGTTAGTTTTCATTAATCCCTTGGAAAAGCTATATGAAGACTGGACTACCTGTGACGCAAAGGAGGATGGTGCTGAGACTGCCACAGGACTGCAGGGCAAACAGGTATTGCCCCCATCGCTGTGCCGTGTGGAGGTCCCACACCAGGATGGCACAGCACTGCCCTGTACATGGCTGAGCAAAGTGCCGTCCACTGGGGGCTGCATCACTGTGGGGTGGGACACCCACTCCACACCAGCTCTGAGGCCAGGGTCCATCCTGGGGCAGGGTCCTGAGCCTGGGGATTGCAACACTGCCTCCTGCAGCCACTGCTATCTCCTAGCAAGTACCAGCCTGGAAAGCAAGATCCTTACAAAACGCAGCTGCCCACCTCCTGCAGCCACTGCTCTTACATGAACATCCCCTGCTCAAGGAGAGCTTTGGGTACCATCTGCACGAGCCAGCTTCAGCGCTTCCCAGGTAGTCACCCTGCGCTCATTTCAGCCAAGCCAAGTAAACCATCAGTTGTAGGGGATGATTCATCTGAGCCATTTTGGACACCCAAGGATGAGGTCAAGCTCTGTCCAGGGATGCCTGCTTCTCTCCTGTGACTCCAAAGGGAGCCCAGCTCACATGCAGACTTGTACCCACAGCCAGATGAATCACTTCTGACTCATTTCTACTCTGTGAGATGAAATGCAGCAGTAGTGCAGGGGTAATGAGCCACCGCCAGCAGCCAGAGGGGTTATTTAATCAGTGGTTTCTATTAAATTCAACCCTGTGAAGCTCCCATGGTCTACAGAAGGGCTGAAATTTCAGGGTTTTGTGATTGCTGACATGGGTAGACCTTCAGCTTTTTACCCTGGTCCTGATTAAGGCTGCAATGCCAAATGGTTTTGCTTATGCCACAAGGGATGAAGTCACTCCAAATTTAACTCAACAAAAAGAAAACCTTGATTTGAACCATTGGCTTTGATCTTGTTCTGCAACTTTATCTTTTAGTTATTTAAGTAATTTCTTTATTACCTGGCAGAACTTGGCACTTCTCCAGCTAACCTTGAAGATACATATAGCAGTATCTGTACTCCTGTACGTATCTATATCTCCAAATTTAAGTGGCTACGTATGTTCATTATAGAGCTTTTCAACAAATAGCACTATTTATTATAAAAACAAACTCAGACGTGGTAGATGGATAACAAAATTTTATGCAAAAGAATTCAACTTACAATTAACTGATTTATTAAACAAAATACATCATCCTTTTGTGAATTCAATTGTTCCTGTTCGTCAGCTTTTTGAGGCTTTTAAGGAAAAAAAAAAAAAAAGAGTTTTCCTTCTTTCTCAACTCCCACTTGGTTTTCAATTTGCAATGAATTTATTATTGTAGTGGATTAGTTAAGGCAGCCCGCAGGGGGGAAATTATTTTCTCTGCACCTGCAAAAGAGGCTGTTCCTTTCAAAAGCCACGTTGACAGTTCACCAAAACCTAGTTCCCAGGCAGGAACTTGCCTCAGCTTCAGTCATCTGACATTGTTTAAAACTCAGCAAACATGTTGCTCCAGTATTACCTTGAATTTAACTGAGACAGCTGTAGCAGCTGAGAGCAGGTTTAGTCCCTGCTATGCACTACCATATTATCAAATGTAATTGAATATAGGCATATTTCAAAAAGCAAATGTATTTAATTTACATTCTAAAGTCATGTTTTAATTTGACAATTCTGACCCTTTTTCCTTAGCGGTGGAATCGGCCGCTTTTATCCACCCTACTCTAGTACATTCGAACTGTCCATGTCCCATCCAGTGCTTTCCCTTCAACACAACACTGCTGAATATTTTTGCAGATGCTGTTTCTGATCAAAAGCTGAAACAAATTAGGCATGTGGATCCCCCAGCACAGAGATGACTTCTGAAGACCCAGGCCCTGCATCTGCCCACAGCCCCAGCCGTTGCTAGTGTCGTCTCCCAGCCATCGGCACAGACCGCAGGCCACTGGGCAGCCAGGAACACCCCTGCCCCGAGATCTGGCAGTCACAAGGCTGGGGATGGTGCAAGCCACCTATAGCGGAGGACACACGCTGCAGCACGGGGTACCCACACCCGGCTGCTATAACCAATGTCTCCACCTGGCGCTGCTTCCTCTACAAGTAACTAAATAAGGAACGCCTATAGTGTATTTGGCATCTTGTGGTCCTCCCAGTAGAACTATAGCCACAAGGTCCTTTCCTGCAATACCACAGCCCAAATGGAATGTAACTGCAACAACAGGGAGAGACAGTGGCGTATTCTGGGACTCAGTGAAGCGTATTTTGAGGCTAACAAATCTAAAAATATCATCAGCCTTACAGAAGACTTTGCAACATACTTGGACAGGAAAAACATTACCATATGATGAGCTGTTGAAGAGTTCAATATTGAAGAAAGCATAGTCCCCATTGGTCATTCCTTGCCGATGAGCAGCCAACATGATGTTCCTGATTGTGTCACCGCTGGCACACATGATTACAACTGGTGGAAGAAAATGAAAAACACAGATAAGAAGCAGTTCAAGAACTTCAGGGAACAGGCTGTTAAGCATGAACGCTGCCAGAGACGGTGACCCCAGCTGTCCTCCCAGTGTTGCAACAAACATGACAATGCAGATGGCGAACAAGGCTGATTTCCCACACAGCTGACAGAAGACAGGTACCAAACACAGAGAGGCTTCCCACTCCCTTGTCTCCTCTGAAAATAATTAAAAAGACCCTGCGTGTGATGTAAATTTTTTTACCTCTGCAACATGTGATAAGTTCAGGCTTCAAATTTCTTCAACTGCATATATTCGTGGAGTGGATTGCAACCATAAGCCTCTGTTGTTACTTCTAAGTGGACATAAGACAATCTGAAGATGAAGAATCGAGGTGATAAAATGACACTACCATTTTAATTTCCATTCCATTGAACACCTTGGTGTAGTTTCATCTTGCCTACTCCTCAGCTGTCTAAAATTTACGTATCTGGTCTAGAATTTGTTGCCTCTCTATGGTTAACGGAGAGCAGCATCTCTGCAGCTGTCTAGGGACAGCGGTGTGAATCTTTCCAGGACACAACTTTCTTTCCAGAGACTATACAATAAGCCTAGGCAACGACGTTTGATGGGACGCTTAATGTTCAGAAATGGGAAAAGCAAGTGTCACTTTCTGAGCATGAAGACTACAGGTGGTTACAAGATTAAATGCCACAGAGCCTCATTTATCACGGACCAAGAGCTAAGCAGGGGCTCTGCTGCTACAGCAGGACCTACAAGCCCGCAGGCGTGCTCTGTGCGGGCACCGTGATCCACACTGCAACAACCGTGGTTGAGAGGTCTCTTCCCCAGCCTGCTGGGCAGGGCGAACTACTCCCCTTGCTACCCCTTCCCTCTGCAAAGGGAAAGCAGGAACTCAGGCACGGTCTTCAGCAATGGGGAGGCACCTCCCAGACTGAGCACATTATACCATAAACTTTTATATAGGTTCACAAGACTATGGGTATGAAGTTCCTGACGTCAGAGGGAGCAGTGAGTATTGTACCAGTGCGTGCTTCGGGGCTATACCCTGCAGCAAAGTCGTAAGAGATCCTGTTGGGACGATGATTCAAAACCAACTGCATGCACGTTTCCAACAACGCCGTCACACATGGCAGGGCTCAAAAGCTACAACAATGTACACAAATATTTTCACCCCAACAATAAAACTGAATCAAAACCACATTCGGCTTTTCTGGGTAGAAGTGTTTGCTATTAGAAGAAATGAAAAGGCCAAACAGGCCAAATCTTTTCACACACAATGAATCTTCTCCCAACGCTTTTCTGGTTGGATGCCATCACAAGCATAAAGCTCCAGATGCATTGTCGGGGTGAGTCACGTTTGGTACATGCCCACGCTTCAGGAGAGTTACACCATGCATAGCTCTGTCCTCCTGATTATAGCAGAGTAATATAATAATTTCCAGAGCAACAGAGCAAGACATATTTCATGACCATTGTGAAGTATGCTAGCGTGAAGGAAAAGAAGAAGAAAAAAAGTTTTCTTACAATAAAATTTGGATCAAATCTTTTCCAGACACACATCAGGAACAAATTTGTCTCACTGTTTCTAATTTCAGCATAGGTGAGAGATTTCCTTTTGAAACATTTCCTTGCTGCCCTCCCAATTCTCCCTTGACTTCGCCTTTACAATTCACATCTATCATAAAATCATAATCTGTAGATGGAATCAAAGAGATTCCCACAACACCAATAAAAGATCTTGAGCAAAAGGAATAAAAAAAAAGAGAAGAGGAAAAACCCCTACTTTAAAATACATCAAGTCGTATTTTGTAAGCCTCTAAAGGAACGTAAGGGAAGTAATATTAACTATTTGGATGTGTTTTTTAACCCAGCAGGAGAGCAAAAATTAGATATTTCAAGATTTTGAGGCAAATAAGCTCTGGGCACGTCCCTCACAATCTTCCAAAAATGTAAGTTACCTGTATTTAATCTGCATCTGTACCTTACTACTGTGTACATACAAATACGTGCAAACACATAGAAAATGCTCTCCCTCCAGTATAATACCCGCAGACCACAGTAGTTCTAATACTAATATTCTGAATTTATTGACTAGGATTATTGACTCATCCTGCAAACACTTAAGAGTTTAATCCAGTTAAAGGAGTAAGCGTTCCCTTTGCTACGCGCATCCCTTGGACTATGCGCTTATGCAGCACGTACTTAAGCACAGTCCTGGCTCTGTGACCATTATGACAAACCTGAGCTTACAGCATCAAGTCTGCAGCGTGGCTAACCGAGTCTACAAGGGAGCTTGAACTACTAATGAAATTCATTAAAGACAAGTGGTTAACCTTTACCATATTTTTCATCATGATTTTGTTGTGGCTCCAGGACTTGAGTCTTTTCAAGTGGCTCCAGGGACAGAAGAGGCAGCCACTGGCAAACATGGGTGTGTGGCTGACTGTGCCCCTGCCTCCCAGACCCCCGAGAGCTCCGTGCAAACCCCCAGCCTGCCGCAACCTTACTCATGGGGCCAGCCTCTGCCCCGGGTCCCCACGGGCCAGCTGATGGGGCAGCTTCTTTCTCAGCCTTGGGAGAGTTTTGAGCCTGTATCCTGATCTGCTTGAAAGCCCACTCCCACTCAGAGCAGCTCAAGGAAGCCCAACCATTCAGGCGGGACCACCATCAGCAGCGATCTCCTCCAGAAACAGAGAGGGTGCAGGGGCAGAGCACAGGACAGTATCATGGTAGGTGTGATACAGGAACCCTTAAAAACTGGTGAGAAAACAAATCAACCAAACAAAAATGTTTTTAGGAAGTGCTTTTGATGGTGCCACATTGCCCACCAGCCCAGCTGCCCCGTGGGGGTCCTTCAAGGCATCCCCAGGAGAAATGAAGACCTCATCTGGTCAGCTAAGGCACATGGCGCATCCTTCACGTGGTATGCGACTTTTAAAATATTGTGACAACCTGGAAGATGCCCTGAGCAGCAGGACCACCCCTCAGGCCCAGAGGAATGTGCGAGGAGAGTCCTGCAGTCAGTCTTTAAAGTCAGAAAGGCACAAGTGGAAGTGGAAGGACCTCATTCGCTGCATTTTGCAGTAGCAGCATAAGCCAGAGGACAAATGAAGAGGCGAGACAGAGCAAAGGGACCCCAGCAGGCATGGGGCGGGGGGAAGAAGACAGAGGGCTGCTTTTGTTCAGTCATTTGCAAGTTACAAAATGATGTAAGACCAAAGGTCTCAGCTCAGCAAAGCATTTAAGCCTGAGCTGAAAGCAAGCCTCTCTTCCCTGACTGTCAGCACAGTCTGAAGAGCGGGGTTTGCCTTTAGCCATCAGTCACGTTCCCACAGCACAGCCACAGCTCCCTTTGCCTAAGGGTGAAAACTCATCTTTTCCTGTCATAAGCATGCTGTTACGCTCTTAGCACCAGGAAAGTCAAACATACGCACCAAAGTCAGGCTGATTAAAAAAAGAAAGCATCTTTCCCCACATAGCGGTTTCCGCTAGCACTTACACATTTCTGTCTCTCCATTCAGAATATTTCCCCGAATGGTACTTACTAGGAAAGCTCTATTTTAAGCACCTGCTTTGGTGAAGAGAGAATTAAAGAGCCACACGCTATTAGCCCTCAGTTATCTCGCGCTCCTGCACACATTAAGGATTTCACAGCAGTGTTAACCACATCAGCAGTGCAAGGCTGCTCCGTCCGCAGCCTATGGCACCGTAACACCCGCTGCGCCAGTCACGCGTAGCATGATCTTTATCAGTCCAATTTTGATGCTATTTTAACATTCTACAACCAGGGATGTAAAAATTGTACAAAGCACTCTGTACATCTACGTCTCTTTTGGAAAACAGCTAAGGACTTTCTTTAACTTGATCCTGCGGTCCACTCCTGGAATACACCTTTTCTTTTTTTGCAGTAACTTAGTGGGGAAGCTTATGCCTGGTAAAAGCCTCTAACAGAAAATGCCTTTTTGATAAGCCCATACATCCACACATCGCTCAGCAAGATCTCACTTTATAACACATCTAACTACAAATTTGCATGTCTCAAAGCACTTCGAGCGTTTTATTACTTCGTGATGCAAAGCCAGTTCATCCAGCCCAGGGGTGACTTTCCAAGATGTTTTACAAGCCATTTATCTCCACGGTGTTTTGCTAACAGCTGGTGGCAATATTACTGCACACACTCATGGGTTTCGCATCCCCACAACCCCTGAAATGACCGCTTCCCCTAAACGCATTTGTTATTTATGAAGTACTCGACGGGGCTTCCAGCGGCAGGAGCAGGGAAAAGGGTCCCCGCGGCAAGACACAGCAGGG